TATTAAATTCTTACTGAAAAAATAATAAGAGCTAATTAAAAGATTGATTTCAAAACTGATTAAAAAGCCCTTTAAAAGTAAAAAAATGTATTTTGAAAACAAAATAAACTTACTGAAAGTCTTCTTTTGAAATAACATTATCCAACTTTTTGTATAGATTATAACATAAAAATTTTTAAATTACATTATTTGTATATAAAACATTTATTATATATAATTGCATACTTTAAATATGTGTAATGATTACATACCCTACTTCTTTATCTCGTGATCTATTTCCTGCTTAGTTCTGATCGTGATTGTATCCTGCTTGGCTCTGACAGAAATTATATTCTGTTTGGTTCTCATGAAGATTGCGTTCTACTTTACTGTGATTGTATCCTACTTGGCTTTGATCAAGATTGTTGTTCTCGTAAGTAGATATTAGTCGAAAAGGTTGTTCCCGTTATATAAAATATTTATTTGAAAAATTTGAATTTTACTTAAACTTTATAAAAATTGTAATATTATACCTGGTAATAGGGTACTTCATATCGCTGAGTTTGAGAAGAACGTTTATGGAAAGAAGTTGGAACAGATTTTTCGTTAGAAATGCTATTAGTATGAGACTCATACGGATATGAATTTGCAGCAGAACGAGGAAAATATGTATTTTCCATTGTATGCTTATTACAGCTTGATAAACTGCTTCGTGTTAATAATTCAGTGTACGTCTTTTCATGCACTACATTATTATCTGAATATTGTATATGTTACATAAGTAACATTTGGCAGTCTATCCACTTGCGAAACTGGATTTAATTGTAAAGAACTATTAAAGATTGCAGGAGACGCATGTTCAATGAAGACATTGTCTCTTCTGGCTTCGTTTTTTTTATTATTGCTTAATTATTTTCTTATTTGATTAATATCATTTGCAATTTCAATAGTTTGTTCTGATTGATTATTTTTATACTTTCGAATTCTTTTAATCGATTTCTTTTTATCTGACGATGAAGTGGTCACATATTTTTTAGGCCGTACAATCGGACGAGGATAACCTAAGCTATAAATAAAAATTTTTTTTATTATAATTAAACGTTACTTACTATTATTTTACAATAAATTATTTTATTTTATTTAAAAAATACATTAATATTGTTAATCAACATTAAATATCATTAATATATTGAAGATGTAAACCAATATGGATGTATGTATATATTTAACGTTTTGATAGTCCTGTTTGATGCGTATTTAATATGAAATTAGCACGTTTCCGAGGTCTCTTTTGAATTTCTTTTTTGCTCTTATTGTTCATTCTGACAGCAATATATGCAACCATTAAATACATTAATATGTCTAAAACAACTTAAAAAAGTACGTAAAATTCATCCTAAAATAAAGTACTGTAGAAGTACGCAGTTTGTAACACATATAAACTATATGTCGAAAAATGAAAACAATATTAACAATTAAATCCTGCATGCAAAGATCATATAAAGATATCTCCAAATACATCCAAATAAGTACATCAATGTACTATACAAATGCATCATGAAGAAAATGTTAGAAAATAAAACAAGGAAACTTAAACTATAAGAAACAAAAGAAAGAAAAAAGAACACACAAAATAATGGTACATATTACGATTATAGAAGAATCGAAACAATATATTTTCTATCCATAGGCTCATTTGTCTCAATAATACTAGAATCTGAATTCTTACCATCGTTAATTGCCCAACATGGTGTCAAATAACATTTAGCCTTCACTTCATTAATAGAAACAATATTAAAATTATTACACAATCCAGAACATTTTAATACACTGATTAAGGAAGAAGAGATACCAACGTCATAAAAATCTTTGACAATTCCAAATTTTGTAATTACTAAATAATGTAAATTTCTCTTTTCTAAAATATTATGTATAATACACACTGGCGAATCACAAAGAACACAACACCTATCACCCAAAGAGTCGACATTTATAAAGATGTACTTCCCTGATAGCCAAGCATGTTTTGCAAAATCATGCAACTTAATGCTCAGCATGAATTTTCGACCAGTTGCTGTATATTTGCTGTGACGTGACGCTTTTCGAGCGCCGTCACAAGGGCGATAGCCCGGCCGAGGGAGCCAAGAGTCCTGGAGAGTTGCTCCTCGCGTTGAGAGAGCAACCCGCGAGACTCCACCATTTTCGTTGTTGTAATATGTCGTTCCCGTTTTGTATTTTTATTATCGTTTAAGTTGTAAGGCGAGACCCCGTGCGGGCGGCGTTGCGTATTTTGTGCCTCGCCATATAAGATTCAGCATCGCCATAGAGACCGGACGCCGGGGGATCATCAACGGGTGTCACGCGTTAGTGACCCCACAGCAAAAGGTCAGGTACCGCGATCCCGTCGCCTCCGCCATCCAAGCTCTATCGACTAACTCCGCTTTGGTTTTAGCCACACACTTGCAAAGGAACGCAGCAGCGGACCTCGCCCGGCTGCAGACGGCACGAGGCTCCGAAGATGCTGCACCCGGAAGGACCGGAGTATGGCCCGGCCAGCCTAACCAGTCTCTTCTGGGAACATCGAATGATCAACGCGATCCGAACCGGATGATTTGAGGAAACCACAGAAAGCGGTGGGGGGGGGGAGGCGCCCTGGGATGAACTGTGGGCGGTTCTCAGGGGCCCCCCTTTTTGGAAAATCGGCAGGATGCGCAAGAAAGCGACGCGGAATTAGAAGGACCAACGTGCAGAGCTGAGAGAGTCACTGTTCGGTGTGCCGCAAGAGTGCAAGGACCAACGCCAGGACTCAGCCCAACGACGCCGAAGACGCCGACTCGATGTAAGCCGCCTTTCGGGTAGCCGTAGAGTTCCGTCCGGTTATGGCTGGTAGCGTGAGTCTAAAGTTCTGTGTTTAGTGTCTCTCACACGACTAATCGCGATTTCGATACCGTGAGCGCGTTTTGGCGCTCAGTTAGCGCATGTCCAGCCGGCTCCGGATATCGCGTAAAAGTCTCTTCGTCTTGCGTGAATCAAGCACCGACAGTCTCTTTCTCGTTGCCGTTTCGATTGCCGTTCCGTTTCGTTACCGTACCGTCTTTCCGTTACCGTTTCTTTTTGGAGATACTGACTATTTGCTACCGTCTTTCTTACGATACCGTTTTGTTACCGTTTTTGTCGCGTTATCACCGTACCGGAAGTACCGTGGGTGAATGTCCGTGGACGGATTTTGCTCGGGAACGTTCTCCGCGAGACCGCTGTTACCGCCAAGTTAGCGTCTCGGCGAGAAACGTGAAAGCCCGCGAAAATAGCCGTTCCGCGACATCTCATTTCTGGCCGTTAGGCTACCGTCGTTCAAAGCATATTTATTTGGCCTTCACCGGCCGCGTCGGATGGTCGTAATACAAGTCATTTGTTTTGCTGAATATCGTCGGATCAGCTGCGAATTATCGTGATCGCGTTACCAAAATTTCATGTAGTTACCGAAATTTGTTCTCGTTACCGATTTATTGGGCGAATTGCCTTACTACCGCCGTATTAAACTATTTCCGCCGTATCGGCTCAGGCCGAACAATCTACTCATCTTTACCCTTATAACCAAATCGTTGAAATACAGTATTGTTAAATTTTAATTGAGTTGTCCTTGTGTTCGCCTCTCACTCCAGATATCTAACGTCAAATAATAGAACTGCGCCCCTCTGCCCTATACTGAACGGGGAGCGGCCGAGCATTTTAAAGAACTGTTGAAGTTACCGATATCGCGGTGCGATTACTCGCACCTGGCGCCCATTTCCGGTTACCGATATCGCGTGAGTTACCTTGCTCCCGAATTGTGCGGAGTACCGCGAGTTACCGAATCGTGCAGTTATTGCCGATTTCGCAAATTACCTTGCTTTCAACGAGCGTGGAGTACCGCGAGTTACCGAATCGAGCATCTATTTCCGATACCGCGAGTTACCAAATCGAGCATTTATTGCCGATACCGCGAGTTACCGAGTCGTGCATTTACTGCCGACGCCGCGTAAGTTACCTAACTCCCGAAGATCGTGGAGTACCGCGGTTACCGATTTCCATTGAGCGTGCTCCCTCGGATCTGGCGTGATTCCAAGGCTAGTTCACATCGCATTGCTAAAAACGTAATGCATAGTCATACGTATTCAACAACACGAGGGCAGATTTGAAACATTTCGTGTCAACAGATTCAGAGCAAACGGAGAGCAACTGTTGCTCATTTTGTTGCCAACAAAATAACTTCTATTCATGGAAAACATTTTGTTTGTCATTCATTTTCGACAACATAAGAGCAACATAACGGATAGAAAAAGATAATGATGTCAGTAATATAGCTAGGCCGGTTCTTACTCAGGGGCAATGAAGGGGGTGCGGGGAAAGAGGGGGTATTGCATTACGCTGCGTCATCACTTTTGGTGGGGAGGGGGGTATCGGATTACGCTGCATCAGCACTTTGGAGAGGAGGAGGTATCAGATTACAGCACTTTGGAGGGGAGGGGTATCAGGTTACACACGTTTACAGTTGTAAAAACGCAGCATCAGCACTTTTGCAATGTGGGTATAAGGTTACTAAAGATTGGAAGGGAACACATATTTTACGGATAACGTCATCACTTTTCTTAGAATCTGCAGGCGCCATTTTGCGCCGTCAGCATTTTGAGCGCCATTTTGCGTTGTTACAGGAATGATATCACTATTTTTAGCAACAGCTGCATCAGCATTTTGAGCACCATTTTGCGTTGTTACAAGAATGGTATCATAACTATTTTTAGCAACCACGTCAGCATTTTTTGACACCATTGTTGCCAGATTTCTTTATATTTAATCAGCACTTTTAATAGTGCCATGTGCAAAAGCCCATAGCAACAGGCAGTTACGTCAGCATTTTGGGCGCCATTGTTGCCAGATTTCAATGTTTTAATCAGCATTGTCAGCATTTTTTGATTAGTGTCGTGTGCAAAAAGCGGGTATAAAAAGCTCGCGAAAAATACAAATTATCGCAATTGTTAAAAATGGAGACGGAGCGTGATCTCACCGTTCGAGCTGCAAATATTAAAACGTTGGGAGAGTTCCTCCCATGGGACCACGAGTGCGACGAGTACCTCGATTCTCTGAGAGAAAAATGTCGCAAGAAACAACGCACCGGACTAATCAGTTCCTTGGTGGCACAAATAACACGTCTGGAGGGTGTAAGGAATACCCTGCATGAGCGATTCATGCCCACCGGTAGTAGATATAGAGCGAAGAAAGGATTCACCTGGAAAGAAATCGAGACGGCTTTCAGGAATCGAATACTAACCGTTGCAGTTATCAATTTGGACTGTATCGAACCGCGTCAATTTCTGAAACAAATAAGTACGGTCATTGAGCGGATTTACAGCGTCATGGTGGAACATGGCAGTGTCAAGATCAACTCCATGTTCAACGGGGAATTCATCGCAGGTGACAAAACTGCCGTAAAGACTATCGCCACAAAAAACCGTGAACTATTTCCCACATCTGATCTAAACGAGTGGTACACGAAGTATGTGGTTGACGCCATCCTGACGTCTCTGGAGGAATTTCAAGAACGTGACAGCGGATGGGCGTTGTCACGTATCTTGGACCTCACTATCAACGTCAACGAGTTCAATCCTCTGCATGCGGGATGCCACATCAAGTTACCGCGGAAAATTTTACTCAAAAAGGCAGTGGTCAACGTGCAATCGACGGACAATGCGTGTTTCGCATAAGCAGTCGTCGCCGCTTTACATCCAACGACAAAACACCCGGAAAGAACAATCGAATAACCACACTATTCCACAGTACTGAATCTGTGTGATATCGAGTTTCCCATGACGCTTCCGCAAATTTCAAAATTCGAAAAACTAAACACCATATCCATAAACGTATTCACAATCGAAGGCCGCTCGATCATTCCTCTGCGTCTCACCGACAACAAGATAGAGAAGCACGTCAACCTGTTCTACCTGCCTGAAAACAACGAGGCACATTTTGTGCTGATTAAAAACTTGTTTCGACTGGTGAGCTCACAAATGTGCAAGAGAGAACACAGACAACATATTTGGTGATCGGTAAGTAAAAACACATTTATAGAATAATTTGAAACTATTTGCAGTATTAATTATATAAATTATTACAGGTGTCTACACTACTTTTGGACGAGCGAGAAATTGTCAGTCCACAGTGCCGACTGCGGAAAGATGAACGATTGCGCCGTCATTCTTCCCAAAGAAGACAACAAGTGGCTGACGTTTCGCAATTACAACCGAAAGGAGCGGCTCCCGTTTGTAGTGTACGCCGATCTGGAATGCACGCTCGAGAAGGAGAGACAGGATCATACAACCTACGCCTACCAACATTACAAGACGTTTAGCGTAGGATATTATGTAAGTTGTACATACGATAATTCATTATCTAGTTTTAAATCTTATCGTGGTGAGGATTGCATAGCGTGGTTCGTCAATGAACTCCATGATTTGGCGCGCCGTGTTAAAGCAATCCTCACCACCGTCGTCCCCATGGCGAATCTTACGCGGGAGGAATCGGTGAAATTTCATAGCGCCGTAAATTGCTACGTGTGTGAAAAACCGTTCGCACCGGAAGATACGCGTGTGCGCGATCATTGCCATCTGACCGGGCGTTATCGAGGTCCCGCGCACTCGTCGTGCAATCTAAATTACAAAGACTCCCACGTTATCCCCGTAATATTTCACAATTTATCCGGTTACGACGCGCATTTCATTATTAAAGATGTCGCTAACGCTTTTGAAGGCAACATTGATTTACTGCCGCTGACAAAAGAGCGATACATTTCTTTCACAAAAAATGTTAAAGATACCAGAGGATAAAAATTCCAAAATTTGCGTCAAATTACGTTTTATAGATTCGTTTAGATTTCTCGGCACCAGTCTCAAAAAATTGGCATCTTATCTAACAACCGATAAATTAAAAATTTTACGTTCCAAATTTAGTTATTTATCCGCGGAAAATTTCAATCTTACGCGCAAAGATGTGTTTCCCTACGAGTATGTCAACAGCGTCGACAAGCTCCGGGAGACTAGCCTACCTCCGCGCGAATCATTTTACAGCTCGTTGACTGGTGAAACGGTATCCGAGAGCGATTATGCGCACGCGACAAATGTTTGGCAAACTTTTTCGATTGAAACTTTAGGTCAATACAGTGATTTATATCTAAAAACAGACGTTCTTTTGTTGGCGGATATTTTTCAAAATTTCCAAAACACGTGTATCAAAAGTTACGGTTTAGATCCTGCTCAGTATTACACATTACCGGGATATACGTAAGACGCCATATTGAAGCACACAGGCATCAAGTTTGAATTACTCACAGACATCGATATGGTTATGTTCGTTGAACGCGGTATACGCGGCGGTCTTAGCCAATGCTACAACAGATACGCTCGCGCAAATAATAAATACATGCCATCGTACTATCCATTGAAACCATTATCGTACCTCATATACTTTGATGTAAACAATTTGTACGGCTGGGCAATGTGTCAACCGTTGCCTTATGCCGATTTTCAGTAGGTCGAAAATGTCGCGAGCTTTGATGTAATGTCCGTAACATCCAATTCGGCTACCGGTTATGTGCTGGAAGTCGACCTTGCGTATCTGATGAACCTTCACGACGCGCACACTGACTTACCGTTCTGCCCGACGCGTGATAAGCCACCCGGCAAGCGGGAGGTCAAGTTACTCGCTACGCTGTGCGATAAGCAGCGATACGTCATCCACTACCGTAACCTGCAACAATGTATTCGACACGGGTTACAGATTACAAAGATTCATCGAATATTGCAATTCGTGCAATCTCCATGGCTTCGAGGATATATAGAATTAAATACACAATTTTGGACACTCGCGAGCAATAAATTCGAGAAAAATTTAAACAAATTGATGAACAACGCAATATTTGGCAAAACTATGGAGTATGTGCGAAATCATACGGATGTACGGCTCGTTACACAGTGGAGGGACGATACGGAGCGGAGGCTATGATTGGCAAACCAAATTTTCATAGCTGAAGCGTGTTCTCGGAGAATCTAATCGCCGTAGAATTGCGGAAACTCGAAGTGAAATTCGACAAGCCGATCTACGTGGGTATGTGTATCCTCGGCATATCCAAAACCTGCTTGTACAAGTTTTACTACAAATACATGGCGCCTTTATACCGCGACAATTGTAAAATTATGTACACCGACACAGACAGTCTGATATACTTTCTACAATGCGAGAACGTATATCACGATATGAAACGCGATCTTTCAAAATTTGATACGAGCGATTACTCCGAGGACAACGTTTACGGTATACCGCGTGCGAACAAGAAGATACCGGGTCTGATGAAGGATGAGAACAACGGCGCGATCATGACGAAATTTGTCGGATTGAGGGTGAAAATGTACGCGTTGAGAGTCAACGCCAAAAAGACACCAAAAAGGTCAAAAGTGTAAAAAAGAGTGTAGTTGCTAGAACTATAACGTTCGACGATTACACTCGATGCCTCAACGATGATATCGAGCTGACGCGGCGTCAATTGTGTATCCAATCAAAAATGCACGAAGTGTACACCGTGTCAGAGTCGAAGCTAGCGCTTAGTCCGTACGATGATAAGCGCTACATCGTATCCGATTCCACCGACACTCTATCGTGGGGGCATTATAAAATACAATTATAGATTGTAGTATTAGTATAATATTTATGTATAGTTTGTTATTATGTTGTATATAATTTATACATTATATTATTTATATTGTTTATATACTAGTGTTAATATTTTTGTATAGTTTATATATTATTTAATAAATAATACCATTGTAGTACATGTTGTGACGTGACGCTTTTGAAGCGTTGTCACAAGGGCGATAGCCCGGCCGAGGGAGCAAAGGGTTCTAGAGTTTCTCTTCGCGTTGAGAGAGCAACCCGCGAGACTCCACCATTTCTCGCGTATTATTTTGTATTTTGTTCCCGTTTTGTATGTTTATTATTATTTGAGTTTGTAAGGCGAGACCCCGTGCGGGCGGCGTTGCGCACATTGTGCCTTCGGGCGAAGAATGCAGCGTCACTAAGAAGACCGGACGCCGGGGGATCACCAACGGGTGTCACACGCTAGTGACCTCGCCAAAAAAAAGGTCTGGTATTGCGCCTCTGTCGATCTCGCCATCTGAACCCATTTCTAATGCAATCTTGCTTCCGACTGCAACGCCAGAGAACAAATAAGGCACGCATCGGAGGACCTCGCCCTGCTGCAGAAGACGCCGAGAGTCCTCAAGATACCACCGGAGGGACTGAAGTACGGCCCGGCCAGCCTAACCAGCCCTGCCCGCGGATAACAGCTCTTACCGATCGGTTACCGACCGGCGGACCAGCAAGTTCTCAGAACCAAGAGGAAGCCGGGATGCTCTAGATGAACTGTGGGCGGTTCTCGGGGGCCCTCCTTTTGCGGAAAATCGGCAGGATGCGCGGAAAGGCGACGCGGGATTTGAGGGACCTACGTGCCGATGATAGAGAAGTGACTGTGGTGTGCCACGATAGTACAAGGACCAGCTTCAGGACTCGCCCAGACGGCGCCGAAGACGCCGACCACTGTAAGCCGTCTCTCGGGTAGCCGTAGAGTTTTGTCCGGACAAGGCTGGTAGCGTGAGTCCATCTGTTTCCGTTTTATGTCTCTCACAAGACTAACACGTGAATTTGATACCGTGAGCTCCTTTTTGGATGCTCAGTTACCGCATATCCAGCCGGCTCCGGGTATCGTGTCGAAGCTTCTCTATCGCGAGCTAATCACCGACAGTCTCTCGTTGTTCGTTACCGTATTGATGTACCGATTTCCGTTACCGTCTCTTTTTTTTGATACCGTCTTTTGTTGCCGTTTTTCGCGATCTCACTATTTAAAGTTATCGTAGTTCAATGTCCGCGGACGAATTTTGCGCGGGAACGATCTCCGGAGACTGCTGTTACCGCCACTTTAGTGTCTCCGCGAGAAGCGAGGAAAATCTACGACAATAGCCGCTCCGCGACATAGCCTTTCTGGCTGTCAGATTACCGTTCGTTTCAAACTATATTTATTTGGCCTTCATCGGCCCCGTCGTATTGTCAATATATGTGATATCTGTTTCGCCGAGTATCATCGGGTCAGCTACCGTTTTTCGTGATCGCGTTTCAAAGTTCCGTACAGTTATCGAAGTTTCTTTTATGCTACCGATCTGGCGGGCGATTTGTATCGCTGTCGCCTTTATCGAACAGTTACCGTCGCATCGACTCCTGCCGAATTATAATTGCTCACCGCATTATGATCTACTCATCTTTAACCCTTGTTAAACTAATTGTGAAATATACATTATTGTTACTTATTAATCACTGAGTTGTCCTTCTGTTCGCCTCTCATTCCGGATTCTTAACGTTACCTAGCAGAACTGCGCCCCTCTGCCATATACTGAGCGAGGAGCGGCCAGACATATTATAAGAATTGTCTAAGTTACCGTTACCGCGGTGCGATTATACGCACCTGACGCCCATTTCCGGTTACCGATTTCGTCGGGTTACCTCTGTTACCGCTGTTACCGAATCGTGCATTTATTGCCGATACCGCGCGAGTTACCTTGCTCCCGAAATACATGAAGTACCGCGAGTTACCAAATCGAGCATTTATTGTCGATACCGCGCGAGTTATCTTGCTCCCGACATACGTGGAGTACCGCGAGTTACCGAATCGAGCATTTATTGCCGATACCGTGAGTTACCGAGTCGTGCATTTACTGCCGACGCGTAAGTTACCTAACTCCCGAAGAACGTGGAGTACCGCGGGCTACCGACTTTCATTGGGCGTGCTCCCTCGGATCTGGCGTGATTCCGAGACTAGTTCACGTCGTAATGTATATAATTGTTTATTGTACAATAAATATATTTTTATTACAATACATTGTCCTTATTTATCTAAGAGTTGTGTGAGGAATCGAATCCTAACCATTTTACAAACACATCATCCTTTCGACGACACACCTTCTCCACGAGCTAAACGTCGGGTTGAGTAGTCTTGAGCAATTTGTGTTCGTACAATCCTCCGGAGATCGGATTTCCGCGAGAATCTTTAATCAGATATGTCACGGGATTGGTTCGTTGCACCGCGACAATCTTAAATACTTCCGTAGACCAATTTGGCGTGTACCCTTTCTCGAATATAGTCTTGAATTTGCTGACGCGCACCGGATCGTTCACCTTGAATTTCGCTGGCGTGGCAATCTTTATTCTACTATACACCGTGGACAAAAGTCTCTTTGCGATTGCGGGAGTGACATCGATCGGTCGCATACCAATAGTTCGATGTTTACGATTATTGTATTCCAAGACTAATCGCGGTAAATCATCAATCCATCTATATGATCCATTGAGCGTAAAAACTTTCCACATCTCGTTCTGTAGCGTGCGGTTGAATCGGTTCCACGACCGGTTCCACGACCGAGGCCTTCATAATTGAGTGTGTCGAGTAATGATCGATGTCATGTTTCTCGACAAGTTTCCAAAAATCTCCGTTGTAAAATTCTTTTCCTCGGTCGGTTTGCAAATTGTTCGGAGTTCTTTTATAATCTCGAAATATCGTGGAAAACGCCTCGGCCGCTTCGATTCCACCTTTGGTCTTTAGCGGAATGGCCCATGCGTGTTTACCCAACACATCGATGACCGTTAGAATGTACTTGTAGCCGCTGTTAAATCGCGAGTACGGTCTCATCTCGACTACGTCAGCTTGCCACAAGTCATCGTATCCTTTTATAACAACAGATCTACGTTTGAAGTTTCTTCTCGCTGGTGCGTGGAGTTCATTCACGAGCAGCCTTTTCTCCAAACTAATATCGCTTTTCATTTTGATTCTTTCAGTTCGTTCTTTATTATTTCATGAAGATGCATAATATTATTTTTTAAAACATTATGAAGATCTTTAATGTCTTGATTAATCATTTGCTTCATCTGATTCATCAATTCCACATTATCCGCAGCAATTTTTCTGTTGGTTTTGGATATATCCTCATTGATTTAAGCCCGCAGATCTGTAATTTGCTTTTGCAACGTTTCAAATTTTGTGTGAATGTAAACGTTGCTATCCTTCCTCCAGTTCTGTATAGTAATCTCTAAATTTTAAAGTTTTAAAAGCACTTTCCGTTTGGAATTTTCACAAAGTAAACAATTTCTATTTATACAATTGTCCATGTCGTCACTAATAGTCTTGAAGCGATGATCCAAGTGTTGCTTGTTCACAGCATCGCTATCGGCTTCGGGGCTGGCGAGACGTCTAATTTTACGTGACTTGGCGTTGAAAACATCGCCATCCACGCAGAGACAATTTTCTCGTACGTAATTTCTAAAGACTCCACCGCTCGACCGAGCTTCTCCTCTCTTTGCGTCGTTTTTTACAAGCTGTATTCCAAACTTGTTGATAGACATTCCTGCAGCATTGCACAAGGGATACTGACATTAGTTGAAAAGTGGTGCTTAATTTATAATCAGACCCGCTTCACGCAGTTCCTCGATTATTGATAGAAACTCGTTGTCGTAAGCGTTGTTTCTCGCCTGACGGGAGGCGTCTAATAATCGAAGACGATCGACCAATTTATTCGGATCATTCCAGTGCACATAATCGACCGCTTTGTTGGTCACGGTCATGGTCTGCGGTGTAACGTTTCGTATCGTGCTACACTCGGGTAATGCGATATTGTGACGAGTCATCACACCTCCACCTCTCTTGTTGAGACACATTAGAGGTGCAATGATATTTTTATACTTGTATCCTTTATTTCCCAAAACCGGTTAAAGCATGTTATGACCGCGTCTGTGAGTATTAGTCGCCAAAAGTATGCTCTTGTATTTTTATTTGTCATCCTCCGTATATCTCGCATCGTCGGGAATTCTTTAGAATATCAATTCAAACAGACCGGGCGTACCCGCGTATATCACACTGTCCACAATTATGTTATTATTTTCATCGATGTCAAAGCGCTTGTTTCCAAGCAGTGTTCCCTCATTGTTAAAGTACACTCCGTAAACTTGATCCGTCTTCTTATCACCGCTCAAGAGCGCTCCGATGTACTCTTGTCCCAGCAGGCCTAGTTGACCGTACAACGCTTCCCGATCATCGGACATTTGCATCGTCCGCAGAGGGTCGTAACTCGCTCTTGCTAAAATGGGGGGACCCGTTTCAGCGCCACCATACCTTGTACCATTTAGAACATATATACTGGAAGGGGCAAAGCTGACTTGTCGTTGTCCTCAACATCTATCTATCCTTGTCTGTACATTTTATTGCAATACGCATGCGTCGATTATGTTGATGTGTGTGATGACAAACTAGACAAGCTTATCTATGACAAGCCTTCCAATATAATCAAATCTAAAGAAATAATCATAAAAAAGTATACAAAACTAATACTATTTAAACATCAATGAAGTTTTTAAATATTTTTTTTATTATTTATTATAATAATTTTTATTGTACTAGTTACTATATATACAAGATATAATTAAAATAAGATAACAAACTTTAGAGGAGCGAGAATATTACATAATAATAAATATTACTTTTTTATTTTTCATTAATAATACATATTTTATATCAGTAACAGTGGGTTTGACGGACATATGTTGATGTCAAATTTTTTTTCATGTTTGGTCTCGCTCCTCAAAGTTTGTTATCTTATTTTAGTTCATCCTGTACATCCTGTATATAATTATTGTTCATTACAGTATTTGTTTTTGGTTATGTGTATCATTATTTTTATTTTATTTCGCAAGACTATTATTACATATTACTGTTATGCCCTTGGTGATAGGGCACGGGTTCGGGATCTGCCGAGGAGTTAGGCCGGGAATCCGGGAATAATCCTTTTTTGTTTTCCTCAATAAAAACAATCTTCCGTATTGATGCCCTCCTATAGGTGCATCGTGATACTCATATAATATTTGTTGTTTCTTTTCCTCTGTGTACCTTTTTATCTCTTTTTCGCTATCTCTCTCTTCTTTCTCTTCGTCACTCTTTTTCTCCTTGTCGATTATATGTATAGCGTGAGCGACGTTGCGACTTAATGCGTCAGCATTTGTATTGTATTTTTCGGCTTTGTGTACGATTTCATAGTCGTACTCTTCCAATTTCAGTCTCTATCTAATTAGACGAGATCCTGGATCGGTCACGTTAAACAAATTAGCGGTTTATGGTCGGTGACAATTTTAAATTTGGTCCCGTATAGGTACGGTCGAAAATGTTTTACCGCCCACACAATCACGAGTAATTCTTTTTCCGTCGTGTTATAATTTTGTTCTGCACGAGAAAGAATTCTGCTAGCATAAGCTATTGGTCGGTCTTGTCTTATCATTCCTTGTGACAAGATACCTCCTATCGCGAAATCCGATGCGTCGGTAGTCAGTATAAATTCATCGTTGAAATTTGGGTACTGCAAGACGGGAGCGGTAATTAGTTTCTCTTTTAGATTGTCAAAAGCTCCTTGCTGTTCTTGTGTCCACTCGAATTTTACTCCCTTTTTAACTAATTTCGTGAGTGGTTTGACTATTTTCGAAAAATTTTCGATAAACCGTCTATAATAGCCTGCCAGTCCTATGAATGATTGCACATCCTTGACTCGTTTTGGCGTAGGGAAATTCTTTACTGCCTGGATTTTTCCAGGGTCAGGCATAATTCCGTGTTCGGTAATTATGTGTCCTAAATATGCCACTTCTTTTCTAAGAAATTCACACTTGTCCGGCTGTAATTTCAGATTATTGTCGCGTATTTTTTGTAATACTTCTAATAAGTCGCCGGTTGTGGTCTTCTAAACTAGCGCCGTATATCACGATGTCGTCTAAATAGACCAGACACCGTATTCCTTGTATGCCCGCCAGAATAGTATTCATTAATCTTTGAAACGTTGCCGGGGCATTCTTTAGCCCGAACGGCATCCGATTAAATTCATAATGCCCGTAGGGCGTTGAAAAAGCCGTTTTTTGCTTATCTCTCGTCTGCCATGGGTATTTGATGATAGCCCGATGCCAGATCTAACGTTGTAAAATACTTCGAATTCCCTAGTTGGTCCAAAATATCTGTTATATTTGGCAGTGGAAAAGAGTCTCCGACTGTTAGGTCGTTTAATTTTCGGAAATCGACCACGACTCGCATTTTAGGTTTTCCCGAAGCGTCTGTTTTCTTCGGTACCACCAAAAGTGGTGCGTTCCATTGACTCGAGCTTGGACGTACGATATCGTTTCTTAACATTTCCTGTACCTGTCTATTCACTTCGGCCTTATGCTTCTCCGGTAATCTATACGGTCGCGTATTCGCGGGTGCCGTACCGGCTCGAGTTACGATCTCGTGTTGCAGTGCCTCGGTGCTGGTCAGGGGTTCTCCGTCCAAATGGAATACATCATCGAAATCTTCGCAGATTTTAAGTAGGGTTTTTCGCTCTTCGTTATTTAAGTGATCGAGACGAAGCGCCTCTTTAATTTGTTGCATGCGTGACAAGGGAATTTTCTTCGGTATATACATCTGAGCTATTAATATCTCGGCATTTTCTTCTGTCTTTACTTCTTCAATTTCTACTACTGGAGCTTGCATTTCTATTTTAGTTGCGGTAGTATTTATTATGCTAATCGGGCAACTATTATTTTTTGGCTCGACTAGGCAATTTCCGATAAATATTCCTGGCATCGATTCTGTAATTCAAGTGAGATCGCTCACTTCTCGCACTTTCATCTCACGTAAATTAGTTCGCGTGATTTTATAACGTCGAAGTGAAAATACGAAATCACTAGATTTGACAGTATACGATAAAATGTTTTGTCAATGGCGGTATCGATATCGTTATGTTATCGTTGCGCAGATAGATCGTAAAAAAGGTAATGTACCATCGCTGAGAGATACAGACTCCCGCTACAGGAACTATATCTCTTCTAATAATCATCACTCGTCCTAAAATCCACAGATTTTTTGAAAAATGAACGTAACGGAGAAGCATAAACAACTTCTTGTTAATTTTATGCGGTCTCATCCTGATTTCGGAAAAGGTAGATTGCGGTATAACCGCGAAAATAAAAAAAATTAGTAAGTAATTTTGTAAGTTGTTTTATTATTAATATCAAATAAAATTTTATTTTACTAACACTATAAATTATAAAAATAAAAATTGCAAATAAAAATTACGAATGAATATAATGTAATATATTTTTTTATAGGACGAATTATGGGAAGAATTAGCAACAATTCTCAATTGTGCAGGTTGCGGTCCTCAAAAATTGCCAAAAGAATGGGCAAAGGTAAATATACATTGAGTTTTAAAATTTTGATGTGTTATTTAATAATTACTAATAACTATGATATAATATCTAATAATAATAACTAAATAACTATGATAACAATAACTAATAACTATGAATCCCATTTTTCCCACAAAATATGGCAATAATAGATCATTCTTTCTTTGTTACAGACATGGCGTGATTGGAAATCCAATTTATTAAAAAAAGTAGCCACATATAAAAGTTATGTAGCGGGTACTGGAGGAGGACCAGCAAAAGTTTTGGATACAAGCCCCTCCGAAGACGATTTACTAGAATTTCTAACACCCGAAGCCAGTGGGATGTGTGGCATTCCCGAAGGAGGAGCTATTGATGATAATATATTTTTACAGAACTCTTCAAAGATATCAAAAGAGAATTTTTCCATGAGTTTTGATTTTCCAATAGATGTGAGTGATGATATATGATGTTTATTTTCTACATGATGTATTTATTTCTTGCAAAACATATACAATATACAATATTTTACAATATTTTTACAATACAATATTTTATAATTACAATATTTTTTTCCATTTCAGATATCCT